TGAAAATATCCTGTAAGAATAACGAAGATAAAATAAAGAACTTTTGGATGCACAAATACCAAAAATTTGTTCCCAAAAGATCTGCCACCAGAAATGCTAAAGGAAGTTCTTCAGTTCTAGATGAAAACCTGTATCTTCAAGAAGGAATGAAGAGTGCCAGAAATGGTAAATATAAAAGACTATTTTTTTTCCTTTCAATTTCTTTAAAACATACATATCTGTTTAAAGCAAAAATTATAACCCTATACTGGGGGAAGGTTCTAACATATGCAGGTGTAATATATATGACAACTAATGCATAAAGCACAAAGGGTGGTAAATAGAATTACATGGTTGCAAGGTTTTTATGTTTTATATGAAGAGATATAATATTAATAGTTAAGGATATATATTATACACACACACATTATCTATATACAAAGAAGAGAGAGAAATCCCTAGAGAACTACTTCTTAAAAATTCAGAGATGACACAAAAGAAAGCAGATAGCAAAATGACAGACTTAAGTCCAACCATATTAATAGTTACATTAAATCTGAATAGATGAAACACACTAATAATGAAGCAGAGATTGTCAGAATGGATGAAAGAGTAAGATCCAATTTCATGATGTCTACATGAGACACACCTTAACTACAGAGACAGGCTGAAAGTGGATTAAAAAGATGCAAACAGTAAGCATAAGAAGACTGGAGTGGCCTTGAAGTAGACCTTAGAATATAGAATATTCCCAGAGGTAAAGAGGGACATAATGATAAAAAGGTCAATTCATCAAAAATCTATAACCACTCATAAATGTTTATGTGGCTAAAAACAGAATTTCAAAATACATGAAACAGAAGTTGAAAAAATTAAAGGGAGAAATAGACAAATAGAGTTAAATACTTTAACATCCCTCTTAGTAATTGTTACAACTTAACACCTGCCCCCATATCAGTAAAGACAGAGAAGATCTGAACAACACTATCAACCATTTTGACCTAAACAACACATAGAGCACACTACACTCAACAACTGTACTTTCTTTTCAGTTGCTCATGGTTCATTCACCGAGATAGAGCATATGCCAAGCCATAAAACAAGAATTAGTATATTTAAAAGGACTGAACATCTCTAGCCACAATGAAATTAAATTAGAAATCAATAAGATACTAGAAAAATCTCATATATTTGGAAATTAAACAACACAATTACAATTTTCAATTTAATTTTTTCTGGAGATGGGATCTTTCTCTGTTGCCCCGGCTAGAGTGCAATGGCCCAATCACAGCTCACTGCAACTTTGAATTCCTGGGATCCTCCCACCTTAGCCTCCTGAGTAGCTGGGACTACAGGCGTACACCACCATGCCCAGCTAATTTTCTAATTTTTTATAAAGATGGGGTCTCACTATGCTGCCCAGGCTCATAATTCTAAATGATCCATGGATCAACATAGAAAAGGAAATTAGAAAATATTTCATAATAAATTACAAAGCTCTACTGGGGAAACAATATAGCTCTTAGATTTAAGAAAATCGGTATGTTAACATAAAATAAATGGAGACGTAAGTGAATGACTTCATACAGAATTTTATAAAAACAGATGTTTCACCACATTATACCTATTTTGGCAATATCCAATGATAAACAGATTCTCAAATCTCTAACAGGACCTTGCCTACTGGTATATTCACTTCCCCTATTTCAGCATGGAACTGTATAGGAACTTGGTGATAGAATAATAAGCATGTATCACTATCTGTTATCTCTATGGAAACATCAACTCCAGATTTTCCTACTTATCTCACATGCCAGCGTCTATTTCATTGTTACAAAACAGAAATGAAAGATGTGGAACAGTAGCAAAATTATGCAATTGCTTTACCTAGCCCCTTCATAGCAAATCACTACAGTGCCAGGGAGAAAGGTGTTTGTTGCAAAACAAGAATGCTTCCACTGTTAACAACGACAATAATAATAATAATGGCAAATACTTACTGAGTATTTACTACATACCAAGCACCATCTAAGTGTTTGTACGTGTGTTAATTTGCTTAATGCGTCATGAGGTAGGTTTTTTTATTACTCCAGTTACAGATGAGGAAACTGAGGCAGAGGGAGGCTAAGTAATTTGCCCAAGATCACACAATTAGTAAGGGAAAAACCCAGGGAGCCTGGCTCCGCACACTTACCCACTGCTCTATCTCTTCTCTAGTAGTGTTCTATGCTGGAACAGTATGTGAACTGTGTGCCCTAAGAAGTAAGCACAGTAAGCCTGAATCCAATTTAAGGGCAGAAGTGAAGAAACTTTAAGATTCCCTTTTTCTTATTTTCTTGTCTTATCCACATCTTATCCTCTCCCTTGCCATTTGTTCCATTTCTATCATCTCTGCAAATCCAGTTAAAAGAGCTCATGTCTCTCCTACTTTGGAGCTTCAGTTGGTAAGCTGAAATGAGATCAAGGCGTGCTCTCCATCTGACACTGACTTTTGGTTCCTTTACCTGCCTATCTAATTCCTTTTATTAGGATTCTGATACCTTCACACTTAGTCAAAATTACATCTAAAATCACCCTTAAGATGAATGTAATGGAGATGGGTAAGCAAATAAATGTTTGACAAGTATTCCCTAATGGTAGGTGATGCTGAAATCTGTTTTCTAGGCATTTATTAGGTCTTTTTGCTAAAGTGCTTTTTTGGAATCTGGAACTAAGTTTGCCCTTGGAATGGTGAGACATACACTATGACGCCAGATGGCTAGGCAAAATTTAGCAGAAAATTTACCCTAAGGTATTCAGGCTTTCACCTTAAAGTTACAGTCAATCCTCCAAACTCTAGACAGCGCATACCTAATGCCCTTTCTCAGACTGCTGGCCTGACAAGAGAGAAATCCTAACCAGGCGTAGATTTCAGAGACTTATAGGAGAAGAGCTCTGTGGTTGGCTTATTACAGAATTAGGACAGGACAGATGTGAAGATACGGATGTTACTATAGAGCCGCTCTAAATGTCAGTTAAAGACACCAAACGTGGGGCTGGGGATTGGGGGAGGGTATACAGGGAGAAAAACATAGAGCAAAAAGGTTCTCCCCATCTAGTTGCAAAGTAATCTACACCACAGGAAAAATTCAGAGTATATTCAAAAACCTTAGAATTAGAAAGGACCCCAGAGGTCATTCGGTAACAGGGAACTCATTACATTGAAAGATGGGCCTTTCTATCAAAGTGTAAAAAGTACCTAAATAATGAATCATTTTCTCATTGCCTTCTATTATAAGTTGAGAGTTATTTTCTTAAAGAAAAACTGTCAAATCACTATATTATAGAAAATCGTATTTACTTCAAGAAGCATCTGCCTTTGTCATTGTAATCTGTATGTATTTAATGCTCTGATGCTATCCACTCCAAAAAATTCTCTTCAAATGAACACTGTACATTTGTTTAAAAGAAGTACAATAAATAAAATATATCTCACAACTATAATGTACAAGTTTTCAAAAATGTTATAGTCAAAGTCCCTTATGCCCAGTAACCAGTTACAGTTAGATAAAAACATTCTTTCACCTAGATAACTTATACATGAATCATTACATATTTATTAATTTGCCTTCTGAAGAATTCTGCAACCACAAGATTTTCTTTTACCCTTTATTGCAAAAACAATAAAATATTAATAAAAACATTTTAAAACAGAAAAAATCATCAATAATTCTACTACCTGAACTCAACTATTTAATTTTTATCTTTGTCTTTTAAAAATATGTTTCAGGCCAGGCTCACGCCTGTAATCCTATCACTCTGGGAGGCTAAGGCAGGAGGATTGCTTGAGGTCAGGAGTTCGAGACCAGCCTGACCAAGAGCGAGACCCCCATCTCTACTAAAAATAGAAAGAAATTAGCCAGGCAACTAAAAATAAAAACAAAAAAAATTAACTGGGCATGTTGGCACGTGCCTGTAGTCCCAGCTACCCGGGAGGCTGAGGCAGGAGGATCGCTTGAGCCCAGGAGTTTGAGGTTGCTGTGAGCTAGGCTGACGCCCAGGCACTCACTCTAGCCCAGGCAACAAAGCAAGACTCTGCCTCAAAAAATAAAAAAATAAAAAATAAAAATCTGTTTCAAATTTTTTATTTCAAAAAGAGTATTTTTCAATACAAGTAACAAATTATACATTCTTAGTGAAAAAATTAAAGCCAGTACTGAAACATGTTGGATTGGTTAAATCTTCTGGTTTCCCTCTTCTACCTATTATTTGCATCATAAATTTCTCAGTTTGCCCTTGTCTACTAACCAGGCTTTGCAGCTTGTATCACTTTAAACCAGTTCTATTGTTTTCCCGTCCTATATCATATTACTAGGAATGCTTTTGGATTTACCCATTAACAATTTTTACATTATAGATACGGGCAGAAATTTATCTCCTAGGATCTACATGAGAATAGTATGTTATTCATGATGGCAAAAATTTAAATTTAGAGAATGACTAATGACTAAAAACTGAAACATACTGCGTTATGTATAGTTAATTCGTAACTATTTTATAAGCCTGGCAAGATAGTCACGGCAAATACCAGAATTAGATTTTTTTCTAAACATATACAACTTCTGTAACTAGGCCAATCAAAACTAACAGTAAATACTTCATAAGACCAGCATCCAGTACCACAGTACAACATGGGGCATGTGAAGAATTAAATTTCTCTAAAAAATATTGTCAGAAACTTATAAATATTGTAACTTAGGAAAATTCGACCTGAGTTCTAATCTAATATACCAGTGCTTACCTTAACAATCTATCATTCTAACCACTTTTTAAATTTCAACAAAGAATATTAGTAGTAACACATGAACATAATATAGGTGATACAGCAAAAGATTTTAATTTTTGTGTCCCAGTTATCATAAGACTTATTTCTCAGAATTGGGATATTTTACGCATGGTTAGATGTAGATGGATAAATTCTAAATATTATTTTTATCTTCTAAATTTATATTCTCTTAAAGATTTCATAATAATGTCTATACCTTAGTTTAAGGCTTTCAGAGAGTCTTTCGGCTTCTTCAATAGCTTTTTTGATGTTTGCAGGTCCAAGTATTGAATGAAAATAGTCCTAAAATTATAGGAAAACCGTCCCATATTGTTAGTACTGGGCATTGCACATAGCACTAATGCTAAAAACATTAAAATCATGGTGCTTATATAAAGGAAGGTTTGATTATGATTGAAGTACTTTTTAAAACCTTTAAGCTAAAAAAAAAAAAAAACAACTTTTAACCTACATAAATGGACAATTTATTCTCTAAATATTTTAAAAGTATCTCTTCAGGCCATTAGTATATTTTAAAAAGTCCATTAGTCAATACATTTTATTTATTTGTAAGGTACTATTAAGAAGCATAAATACTATTCTTATTGTAAGTCCCAGAGAGCAAAGCTTTCAAGAGTAAAATATACTTTCTTATTACGAATGTGTACCTATTTTCTCTAGTCTCAGAAGCAATAAAGCAAATCATGTGTAGATGTACATTAGATTTGTTTTGTTTACTTGTTTTAAACTATTTTTGCATCCACCTGTACTTTACAATAGCTACCCATAACTTAACCAGAGTCAAAACGCTATTGACACATAAAACAAGTTTTACACTTGAGGAAACTCTGAGTAACCAAAAAGCAAATGATAGAAAATACATCATCAACAGTATACCTTTAAAAAAACGCAAAGGTTTGGCACATAATTTACTAACAAGCATAATGAAGTTTTTAAAAAAATCACTACTCCAAGAGGTTACTCATTAGATCCTACAATCAGATATTTTCAAATCAAGGTTCGTTTGACATGACAGTAGTTGGTTAAATCAGCTAAATGATTACCGGGTCTGATTTGCCACAACATATCAATATGATTTTGCAATTAGAGCCTACTAATATGGTTCATCACAAATTTATAGCAATCAAAATTTATAAAAAGAAGGGCCAGTAAGCCAGAAGTACCCATCTTTGGCTCTTCGATAGGCAGTCATGAAGAGGTACACTGGTGGAGCAAATCTGTTGATAATAGTTATCTCTAGTCTAAAAGTAGACCATACTTTGGTTGAGTTTATTTTTCTAAAGCCTAAATATGTTACTAACAGAAGGGCCCTTCATTACCTAATACCAATAAAAGTGTACGGTTTGTTCAATAATGCAATAATTCAATAATTGCATTACTGCATTCAATAATAATGCAATTGTATAATAATTCAATCAACTGAACGTCACACTGATCTCTGTTACCACAATGTCCTGACGACTGAGGCAACACTTTTCTAACAGAAAATAATGTAATCATTGTTGTTAATTTCTGATAAAAACAAAATACAAAGTAAAAACCAAAACCACCATGAATTGTTTTACTCATTTTACACATGAACTCATTAAAAAGCCAGCCAGCTTAACTCTATTCAAATGTTGAAAAAATTGTGTTTGGGCCTGCCTGTTACACACTACAAGCAGATATTCCCTTAATATTAATGAGGTTTCCTGTCATTTATTTCTCTTTGTGTGCTTAAAGGAGCTCAGTTAAAGTAAGTATAAATACTTTCACATTTTTAATAGTATGACAATTGGGAGAATAAAAAGATAACACCCAATTATTATACAACTAAAAATGTTTCCTTCTCAAATTTACCAAGTAGAACTTTCCTATTCCTGAACATACAAATTCAAACTCTCATGATTTCATAAACAAAAAAAGAAAAAAGATTTACCAATGAATATTAAGGATTATCAAGAATGCCATAAAGATTTTAAAATACAATTCTAATTTTATCTAGAATTTGCTGTGCTAATATTTTCAATATATTTTCCTCCCTCCTTCTTCGAATAACCCTGAAAAATTATTCAAAAACTGACTTTTTGATGAATAAGCAATAAATATACTGTGTCCTCTGCTATTGAGAGCCTGCTAAATTAATCAATTTTATCTAAATCTTAAATATTCTCTAGTATAAAATAAAAGTGAAAGATATGTGTTTCTGGTTCAGTGACATATATTTTGTACCTACCTGATCTAAAGGGTAAAAACCAGAAAACATCTAGTTAGTAAATTTAATACCTCATGTACCTGAAGTACACTAAAGAGGCTGGGATAAAGAAAACAAAAAACAGGTCTAAGATAGAAGCAGATGAGGTACTGTGGACAAAGCAAATGAAGCTAATCCTTTTACCGAAAACCAGGAACTGAACAACTGCAGCATATAAAGTGACCATGTGGGTTATTTGAGCCTTTACAGGGAAATTTCCAACCTGAACTTCTCCTACCACTAGACACTCCCTCTGGAAATGCAACAGATACTCCGTGGAAATGGAAAAATCTCTTATCAATTAAAATTTACTCCCTACCTTCTCAAGAACCAGAAAAAAAGTAGCCAGAAAAAGATTCCCAACCTTGTCAAAGAAAAAAAAAAATACTAACTTCTAAAAATAAAGCAAAAAGTAAACAAGTACCTAAAAAATAGCTCTACCACACAGACAAAACATCAAACACCAAAACTACGAAAGTTATCAAATTTCAAATCTTTCAAAAATATTTACTCTAGTAAGTGCTGTTAACATTTCTTTTTAATCAATTCCACTTTAACAGATTTCAAAGAGTATGGAAAACCTGAATTTCGGCAGGCCTCTGTCTCTTATCTGCAGATGAGTATGTCCAAGAATATTGAAAGATGTTTCCCAGGGCAGGACAAACCCAATCATTTGTGGACAGGTGACGAACCTCCAAATGCAAGGGGTCACTTCTCCAAAGCTATATCTAAAACCCATTAACTATTATTAGCACAAATTTGCTGGTGAGAAAAAAACACCAGCAAAGATTTATCACCATTAAGTGAAATACTAAAGTCATCCCTCAACTAATAACCAAAATCACACTACTGGGTCAGGTGTGGTGGCTGATGACTGTAATCCCAGTACTTTGGGAGGCTGAGGTAGGAGGATCGCTCGAGGCCAGGAATTCAAGACCAGCCTAAACAAAATAATGAGACTCCATCTCCACAAAAGAAGTTTTTTAAATAGCCAGACATGGTGGTACATGCCTGTAGTCCTAACTACTCAGGAGGCTGAAGAGGAGGATCACTTGAGCCCGAGTGTTCAAGGTTACAGTGAGTTATGACTGCATCACTACAAGTCACAGGACTCTTAACAACAACAAAAAAAGATTATTTCAAAGAACAAGAGAAAATGTTATTTCTATACGGCAATTTAAATGAGGCAAGCCAATTCTGCCACCTGATAACAAAATAAGATCTCATTATTGATTCAAAAATGGCTTCTCTACCAGGTTAAAAAAATCTATAGGCAGTATTTTGCTACTACTGTCGGGTAGTAAGATTGCTCCTAAGAAAAGGTAGAGCTACCAACAGAACATTCTTCCCATTTCTTGAAAGCAGCCTCTATGTTCTTCTTTTGCCTGTTTCTGGTACAATTAAAATATAATGTATCATTTTCTCTACCAACACTTAACCCTAGTCATGTATTCTCTATTGACCTACACTGCCCTTGCCCTCCCCTCATACTCATGGCTATAGCAAAGTATGAGACTAACACTTGTTCAAAGGATTAAAAACAAAAAATTTTAAAGATTCTGGAAGCAATCAGTATTCATTTTGCAAACTGAGATCTCTAATATGGCTCTTAATGTCAGTCAAATATAAAAAGGTATTGCATAAAAACAAGTAATTAAACCTTGAATTTTGGCAAAGTACAATCAAAAACATATCATATTTTCCTTATTTAACGTATGAGTAAACTCAATCCTTCTGCTTGACTTGGCAATGATTACAAGAGAAAACAAATTATGAGCCTGTATGTTGCTATAAACTTGCACTAACTCAAGGCAAATTAAGAGTGTGTGTACAAGTGCACACACACACTTGCAAACAATAAAACTACATCTTTAGGTGCTTTTTCTCTCTACCTAAGAGTTTGAACTTGTTCTGCCGAGTATGACCTAAATTTCACCGTTAGTTAAAACTTTTAGAGAAAATCAATAGTTCCATTAGGCAAAAATAATTTAGCAAATAAAAATGCAAAAATAAGAGGTACCTGCTGTTGCTTGAAATCAGGTCTTTTTTTGATAAGATTATAAACAGTCACATATTTCATATATAGCACATAGGCCCTTTCCTCATCACGGTCTAATCTGCATTCTTCTGCTGTCTTAAAGATCTTCAGGGCACTGTGTACATAACTTAAAATTAGAGAAAAAAATAATGAAATCACTTGACATCTGGAAAGAAAATACAGGTCAAAAAGTCCACGGATAATCTTGATAAAGTAAATTTCATGATTTAGGTTGCACTACTTCAGAACTGATACATGTAATTGATACACTGTTAGATATAAGTTTAGATATAACCAACTTATACATACCACTTCCTCTGGGATGAGGACAGTCCTAGAGATAAACCAGACATTGCTAGAAAGGAATGACCTGCCTTTGGGTCTGACCTTAAAGACTGTCCTGTCTTTAAGCTTTGAGAAAGCTTAAAAGTGGCTTTATCTTTCCCATTGTTTCCTATTGAAAATCACTCAGCAGGAGTCAAATTGAGCTGTTTTCTCTGTCACCCCATCAACATTACCAACTTAGTCCAATAAGTAGCCCAATCTTTCTTTCATTCTTTCTGTCCCTCAAAAGATCTCTTTTTCAAACACCAATTTTGTTCTTAGTAATGTTTAGAAATAGCAGTTCATTCTGGGATTTTTCTTCCTGACCTTCTTTAAAGTTTCTACCACTCTCATCTTCATCCTTTATGTTTTGTTTTCTTCCCATCTTCTGTTTATTTCTTTTATAATATGATGCATGAAGATATCCCTGTGCAATCATAGGTTTCTTCAGATATTCCTCCATTGGTTCATTTGGGATCACACACACTTTTTTAAAGTCTCCCATTTATCTTCATTCATGAAACACCTATTCCCCTCCCCCACACTCTATGATTTTTAAAATCTACTTTCCCCAAGTCTGAGGTATATGGCTGCTAAGCCCACCTTTCTTTTTGAAACTCTTATTTCCAACTCTATAATAATATGGTTATTTATTTATCTCCAAATCTTCTCCTTTCTTGGTCAAAATAAATTCAGAGGCAAAGTTCTCCTATTGTCTTCTGTCCCTTAACAGAGATAAAACTATCAATAAGTTAACAATGTTAGTGAGAACCCGCTTTTAGCAAAATTATATTTCCAGTAAATATCGAATCAGCTGGACCTCTCCATCACTATTATATTTTATCTCAGGATAGATTTTGAAATCTCTATCAGGAAGGCATCATCTCTAGCTTCTACCTCAGCAAGGAGATAGCATACATGCCCTTAAAAAATAAAAATACATAAAATAAATCATTAGGTTAAAAGTTGATGTCAAATTGGCACAAATTAATACTTACTGAATACTGAACAAAAAACTATCCCCTCTTTTCTTAATCAAAGAAAGACTAGCCTCATAGCTTGTGTTATACATAAGAACAAATGTGATCTTTAATTAAGAATTATTTTTACACTGTTTTATGAAAAACAATGATCGGTGGCTGAATAATTTTTGTAGAACTCTCATAATCTTTGCCTCTTAATCTTAAGATTTAGTATAGTGTCCAGAGAACAGATAATATGCATATTAGCACCATATACGTGTATTCTGCTAAGATAAATTTAAGACCTTCACTAAGGATGTCTTACTTTATTCATGTGATGGTGTCATTTTTCAAATAAACTTTAAATTGACTATTCTTCTAACTCAAATAATATGGAAACAAACTACAAATTATATATTAATATATGATTCACTCAAACTAGGAGAGGATTCATACTTCTTAGTGCTTATTTTCTCTGGTTTAACTTCTGTCTTTTTATTGAGGTCTTTTAGTGAAGAACTGAGGTAGAGTTCTTTAGGAACTGAAGCTACAGCAGGCATGATGAATAATCTTCACTTTTCCACTTTCACCATGGATGGTACATTTCATTAAAAGTAGTTCTTTCCTGAAACGAAACAAATACAAATAATTCCACTAATTTTCCTCATTAACAATAAGTGAGCAGTTTAAAAAAATAAAACTCCTAATTTTTTTAGATTAGGAGTTTGCTAACAGGATTAATTTTAAGTTATCCTGAATATCTATTTTGGGAGTTCAAGATAGAGTATAAATGAACAATTTAGTAATTTTTTTCAAATTTTTACTAACGAAGTTGGGCACCGTGGCTCACACCTGTGAGCCACTTCAGGAGGCTGAGGCAGAGGGATCAGGTCAGGAGTTCAAGACCAGCCTGAGCAACATAGTGAGACCATGTCTCTATAAAAAATAGAAAAATTAGCCAGGAGTGGTGGCACGTGCCTGCAGTCCCAGCTACTCCAGGGGCTGAGGCAGGAGGATCACTTGAGCCTAGGAATTTAAGGTTGTAGTGAGGTATGATCATGCCACTGCCCTCAAGCCTGGGCAACAAAGTAAGATCCCATCTCAAAAAAAAAAAAAAAGAAAAAGAAAAAAAATTTTCACTAACCAAATGAATTACTGTTTATATTATTTTGCCTTAAGTATTAGGAATCTTACCTGCCAAAGGAACTAGCAGTAAGAATAGTAAGAGCTTTTACATTTTTCTTCTGTTAAAACTGTATTAATCACAAGTAGAAGGAATTTTCATCTAGAAATATTTCTCTCTTTTCATTGATGATATCAATTTACAAAAGGAAACAAGTGGTGGAGAGGCAGTAGGCAGCACCACACTATACAGAGCTATAGATAAATGAACATGTTTTTATTTCTGGCAGAATATACCATGCATTTTGGTTTACTCTGAAAAGGTCTTCAATGTGTCATGGCATTATTTGTTTTCTTGTATGCTCTGGCAAACTCTGACTAGGAAGATGGAGCAAGAAGTAAACAAAATAAAGACAGGAGGAAAAATGGTTAGGTACATACAAACTAAGTTGTGTCTATGTGTATACATGTACCAGGGATGCATGCAGATGGGGCAGATCAGGGGAGCACACCAAATGGGTAGTCTTGGCAAGATCGTTAAGTGTTACCAAATGAAAACTTCAGGAACCCAATTAAACTTATACAAGGTCTTCAGCTGTGAAGAACTAATTACAATTTGAATAAAAATCTACATTAATACATTTAATAGATTACAACTTTTAAACTTTTTCTATCACTTCTTTCCACTCTCTTAATGATCTTCAGTCTATCAGCTCATTATTGTTAGATGAATGGACATCAACAAACATCTAATCCTAAAAAGCTGAGGTTGAGTAAGGTACAACTTATGGGAGGGTGGGGGTGGGGTAAGAAGGCCTCTGTTGGCCTGTGAGAAACTCCAAAAGCACCCCAATTTGCTTTGATTCTAGTCCCATTTTAATATTAAATACTAATATTTTATGATTTCTTGGTACTCACCCCTTCTAACCCTGTGCCACATTAATTCACTATCTTAGTCACCAAACCGTTTTTTTCTCTGAAAATCACTTTTTTATCATTTTCACTTTTTCTATCTATACTTGCTCCAAGTATCTATAAATATATGTTGAACCAAACACTCTAATTCATAATTTCAGATTTATGCATTTAGAAACAATGATACATGCATTTTCTACACTTTGCCCTCCACGCTGTGTCCTGTGTCTAAAGCTGTAAAGATGGGAGAAAAAGGCTCTGGACAACATCATCACTCCCAAATGTATCAATTGATATTAAATATCAATCAATCAATATCAATCAATTCTAGTGAGGTATCTAATTCATAACAATTCATCATCAAACCAGCTAAGAGCATCCATTAAGAAAAGAGTCTGACAGAGATTCCTTGGATTTCCTCAAACTCAGAGACAAAAGCATTGTTTTAGTGTCAATATAAATCACCAGCAGACTTACCTTGCACAGATAGGCTCCGTATTAAAGATAGGTGTTAAAAGGTCTCTAGTCTCCAAGATAAACAGTTTAACCAGAAAGCATACTCTACCCTCTGCAATCCCACCCCATCACCGCGTGCGCCCCCCACCATGTTGAGTGAAAAGGCAGGAATACATGTAACATGACACTGTTTATATAAAGCTTAAAATCAAACTAAATCAAACAATATATTGCTTAATGATACAATGAGGTAAAACTATAAAGGCAGAAAATGACAAACACAAAATTCTATTTCGGGGGGGGTGGTAGAGAATGTAATCGGGGAGACACACACAAGGAACCTCAGGGGTACCAGTAAGGTTGTATTTCTCAAGTTAGGTGGTATGTTCACAGGTGATCATTTTATTATCATGTTTTATAACATAAAAGAATATATGTAATGTACTGAACATATATTTCATTAAAAGTTTTAAAGAAAGCAATTATATGAGCATGACAATGCAAATATGAATAAAACTATGCAATCACATATAAATATGAAGCGAGTATCCCAAAAGATGTAAAAGTTAGGAAGTTACGGGTTAAAAAAGCAAACTATTCATATATGTATTTTTTTAATATTGATTTTTAAAAGAACAGATTTGGAAGATTGGAAGAACCTGATACAATCTTGGGAAGTACAGCTTCCATATAGTGGTATGAATGGAAGCAAGACTATAAGAATTAAGAGATTTAAAAAAATAGAAGTAGATTGTAGATAACTTTTTTTTTAAATTGGCAATAAAAGGAGAAAGATGGGATAAAGTGGAATAGTGTTCCAGGTACCTGATTTCTACTGAGACATAGGAAGCACAGTTGAGGGATAACACTTCTGACTAATACAAAGCATATTAAGATCAAGAAACTAACTTTTCAGGATGGTGCTTAACGAAACTGAAGTCCCTAGCAACACCACAACAGACCTCTCTATGGCAGAGGGCAGGGTGTGTTATCACTTGAACATTAATAATGGCCAGAGGACAGTAAGGTAACAGTAACAAGTGTTATCCCTTACTTTTCTGGCCCCAACTATTTTAGTTGGTATCTTAAGCTTACTTAAATAACAGAAAGCCAGCATCTGCTCCCTTAATATGGGTCAGTTCTTAAAGTGTAATTCCCAAAAAGCCTAACCTTTTTTTAGTAGTGATACTACTAAGCATACTAAAGACTAAAGCCAGATCGGGTGTGGTGGCTTACACTTGTAATCCCAGCACTTTGGGAGGCCACATCAAGAGAATCAGTTGTGGCCAGGAGTTTGAGACCAGCCTGGGCAACACAGTGAGACCCCCTTGTCTCTAAAAAACAAAAATAGAAAAATTAGCCGGGTGTAGTGATGTGCATATGCAGTCCCAGCTACTTCAGAGGCTGAGGCAGGAGGATCACTTGAGCCCAGGAGTTCAAGGTTGCAGTGAGCTGTGATCATATCAGCCTAGGCGACAGAGCAAGACCTTACGTCTACCAAAAAAAAAAAAAAAAAAAAAGACTAAAGCCAGAGTTGGACAGAGTGACTAAGTACCAATCTGGTAGTAGTGTTTGTTTTTCCAATTTTATCCTCTATCTGGGCTATCAGTCATGGTCTAATCACAGAATAAATATTCAAAAAGTTAGGTAGAGTCTGTTTTGATATTCGTTTTAATTAGGTTTCCTGGCAGGGAAAAGAAAATCTGAACATTCTAAAATGAAGGTTAGAGTATGTTCTCAGTTGAATGTGTTTCTCATGATTTTCTTTAAAGCTTAGATCTTTAAAAAACAAAGAATATACAAAGTATATATGGTACCTAGGAAACTTAAAATAGTAAATCATTAGCTATTTCAAAGTTAAATTTAAAAACAGATATCCTGGCCGGGCGCGGTAGCTCACGCCTGTAATCCTAACTCTCTGGGAGGCCGAGGCGGGCAGATTGCTTGAGCTCAGGAGTTCGAAACCAGCCTGAGCAAGAGCGAGACCCCGTCTCTACTAAAAATAGAAAGAAATTAATTGGACAACTAAAAATACAGAGAAAAAATTAGCCGGGCATGGTGGCACATGCCTGTATTCCCAGCTACTCGGGAGGCTGAGGCAGGAGGATTGCTTGAGCCCAGGAGTTTGAGGTTGCTGTGAGCTAGGATGACGCCACGGCACTCTAGCCCGGGCAGCACAGTGAGACTCTGTCTCAAAAAAAAAAAAAAAAAAAAATACAGAGAAAAAAAAATTAGCCGGGCATGGTGGTGCATGCCTGTAGTCCCAGCTACGCGGGAGGCTGAGGCAGAAGGATCGCTTGAGCCCAGGAGTTTGAGGTTGCTGTGAGCTAGGATGACGCCACGGCACTCTAGCCCAGGCAACACAGTGAGACTCTGTCTCAAAAAAAAAAAAAAAAACAAAACAGATATCCTGCTGCATAGAAGGCACTGTACTTTCAGGAACTCAAAGATTAGGTATGATGTGTTTCCTCACAAAGTTTAAGTGTTAGTTCTGAAGAACTAACCAAACTAACAAGAGCACAAAGTTAAGCTTTAAATGACTGACTAGATAGAGAAAACACTAGTTATCTATTATAATGATCCTACAGAAAGATAATGAAGATCAGAACTAGGGCAGTAGAGATAGAATGGAGGAGGCAGATACAAGAGACACTGCAAGGGTAGAATAACAGGACTTGGCAAATGATTAGACACAAGGAAGGAAAGTGTAAGATTATGATGTCACCAAAGTTTTTAGCAAGGGTTTCTAGGAGAAAAATTGTACTTTTTAAAAGTTACCTTTTCTGTCCTTATTTGATTTTTGAGAACAATTCAAATAAGTAACAATATTCTCTGATAATGTCTAAGGTATATCAAAGAACCACAGTTGTTTCTATTTTTATTAACAAAATTATACGTTATACTGTCAAATAATGACACCTAGTGTTGAAAATACTTTTAGCATTGTTTTAATTGACATTTCAGCCTCTACAATCGCATACATTTCTGTAGAAATCAAACAGGAGGTAAAGGGTATTTTTCCCAAATCAAATGAGAAAGTAAAGCACATACAGTCATCCCTTGGCACTCAAGGGGGACTGGTTCCCAGACTTTCCACAGATACCAATATCCGAGGATGCTCAAGGCTCTGAC